CACTTGTTTCATCCTTGCATGTGTGAATTCTCCCCCCTGTAATGTCTGCCTGTAGATAATAAACAAAGTAAAGACTTTGGTTGTCTACATAGATTGAAAACACAAGAGCGGGTAGTCAATCATCTGGCAAGCTACAATGAAGGTTTCCTTGACTCATTTCAAGGGTGAACATGAATATGAACAGGGCATATCTGGATCGACTGCCTTTAGTAATCTTATCCTACTTAGCTACTCTTTATTAGCTGTCCTTTCCCCAACACTTTTACAGCAGCCTCATTAGTTATCCCTTCAGCCAGCACATGACTCTGTGATCACATCATCTCTCATTGGCAAATACTCTCAGGGTAGCATGAAGACTGGAAGTAGAGAAAAACAATATGTCAGGGTTGTGTTTTCTGTGTTCATTCTCCAAAGGCCTTTGCTTAAAAATGCACCTTTAGTAGGGACTGGGTGGGTCAATATGCTCTAGGTTTTAATATGAAATTTAGAGGAGCTATCTGAGAGCTGGACAGTGAAGAAAGCAGATATTGTGGATGGCTAAAAAGACAAAGAAATAGGTCCTAGAACAGATCAAGTCTGAAACACCCCTGGAAGCCAAGATGATCAAGCTGAGGCTGTCATTCTTTTTCACATCACGAGAAGGCACAATTCATTGGAAAAGACAATAATGCTGGGAAAGGTTGAGTGTAGTAGATAGAGAGGATGACAGCATGCTAGATGGCTAGACTCAGTTAGGGAGGCCACAGACATGAATCTGCAAAAATTAAGCAGAGCAGAGGAAGACACAGAGTCTTAGAGATGTCTCATCCACAGGGTCACCATGAGTCAAAGTTGACTTAAGGGCAGTTAACAACAATCCAATGTTTGGGGCAGGGGGCAGGATTCAGAAACATGGATAGTTCTTTTAAGGTATGGATTTCCTTGACATGAAAGCCACCAGATCACACTGTTAATAGGCCAAGTAAATCAGATATGTGTTCTGCCATTGCATTACAATGATTCTGCATTAGAGTGTACCACCTACCTTGGATGGATAGCCATAGCCTTACACTAAAGGTTGGGAGCACCATCCTAAGTAGACAGTTTTCACTGATCAGTTTCATTACCATTGTGTTCCTTATCTGGCTCCACCCTTTTATATATAACCCTACATAGGGATGGAATAAAAAATAAATCACATTTTAATGTAAACCTACCTAATTTGCACCTCCTGAACCAATAAGTAGATTATTATCCTTTGCTATCTGCACTTCTAATCATTTTGCAAAGTAATTCTCCAAGATTGGTTTTTTTTTGTTTTTTTAGTGCATGCCAAAATGTGTATGTAAAGAGAAAGTGAGCACAGATGTGTGTCTATTAATGAAGATACTGTACAAAATGCATCCTATTAGAGAAATGGCTTGGGGAAAAAATGTGAATATTAGGAGAAATTCATATAAAATAATGTATTAGAAGAAATTTCCCAACTATACATTTTAAAAAAATATATTTTTAAGATGTAGTGATGTAGAAAGAAGATAAACAAGATGAAATCCTGAAGAGGGGGTATGAAAGACTGAGCTAACTAAACAGACAGATTGCACATCCTTACTAGGCAAAAGATATTTCAGTTGGTCAGCTCATATTATGCCTCATGCTGTAAGAGTCTCCTGTAAGTCATATACTGGCCTGAGGGAGGCATAAGATGTTTTTGTAGGGTAGCCAATCATATATAGATAATAGTGAATTGTGTGCCATATGAAACTGGACCCTGCCCTTCCATTATATAAAATGCTGATCTGGATGCCAGTCATTGAAGATAGGCACAAAATGCATTTGATAACCTTTTCAAGGTCCATAAATCCCTTTACTGATTACCCTTCAAAAGCTAGCATTCCATTTTTTTCTGTGGAGGCAGAAGGGAAAACAGGGGCTGTGCTCTCAGTTTCAGAAAGAAAGGTTAGTTTTAATGCATTATGCATTGCTGGACCCATGAGGGCGGACTATGAGATGGAACCAAATGCACTTTATCTTAGAATCAAACAATGGCCACAACAGGAGGGGAGAAGCAGATCCACCTCCTTGCTATTACAACTAATCAGTTTTTCCATATCTGTCAAATAAAGGAACCAGGCATCTTAACGTGTTAAATATGTTGCAGCCATAAAGTATCTTGAAATGTTATTGTATTTGATCACAATAACACAGGACAAATATATCATGGCCTTTCAAAAGAGAATGGTCAGTGGAGGAATGATGGTAGTTGTTAATATTGACTGTATTAATGAATTTGACTATTAAAGATCAATATGGGGGTCAAGAATATGTTATATCATAAAACAGCTTAAAATAGATGATCACCTTCTTTTTCAGGTATCTTCCCATAAAGAATAATTCATTAATTACTGATATTATATATCAGAATGCAATATATGAATTGTTGTTGTTCATTTATGGTGACCCTAAGGCAAACCTATCATGGGGTTTTCTTGGCAGGTTTCTTCACAGGGGTTTTCCCATTGCCATCCTCTGAGGGTGAGAAAGTCTGACTTGCCCAAGATCACCCAGGGAGTTTCCATGACTGAGTGGGGTTTTAAATCCTTGTCTCTGGGGTCATAGTCCAATGCTTGAACCACTATACCACACTGGTTTTCCAATATATGATTACCCTTTCTCAAATGTATTTATTTATCATTTTCTAGTAAGTATTTGATAGCCAGAGTGGCTCAGAGGATTAAGCGTTGGACTATGACACTGGAGAGCAGGGTTTGACTGCCAGTTCAGTCATGAAATCCACTAGGTGACATTGGGCTAATCACATGCTCTCAGGCTCAAGGAAGGCCATGGCAAACCTCCTTTGAACAAATCTTGCCAAGAAAATGGCATAATAGGGTCGCCAGAAGCCAGAAATGACTTGAAGGCACACTTCAAGTTGGAGAAACCTGGAAATGAACCTCTGGAAAGCTAGGCCAATGAGAAGTTGCAACCTATCAATACTTGTCTCCCTTGACATTTATATTGACTTGTTGCACTTACCTTGAAAAGGATTAAACCTGCATTTGCATTGCAGAAATAATGCAGTTTGACATTGCTTTAATTGCCATGGCTCAACGCAATAGAATCCTGGGTTTTACAATTCTGTGAGATATTTAGCCTTCTTTGTCAAAGAGCCTGGTGTCACAACAAACTTCAGATCCCAGGATTCCATAAGATGGAGCCATGATAATTAAAGTGATGTTAAGGTGTGTTAATCATGCAATGTGGCAGTAACCAGTGTTTCTCAGTTATGGCAGACATGTACTTAGTTTGACTCATTGCTGGTTTAGTTGAAAGAAAGAAAGAAAGAAAGAAAGAAAGAAAGAAAGAAAGAAAGAAAGAAAGAAAGAAAGAAAAGAAAAGAAAAGATGTGACCAGTTTGAATCTAAGTGGATATCTTGCATCTTTATTTGGGATGATGAACTGGGGTAAACTATTTCATTTTCATGAAGACAAGGAGGAGAAAATGTGCAAGAATAACACAACCAAGGATTAATATCTTACTATAGGTCCTAGACAAGCACTCTAATAGAACTGAGCATCCAGAACCAACATGTCATCAACTACTGATGTGTAAGGCTATTTCCATGCAAAACTCACAACTACATCATTGAGAATGGAATACTGCTGAGCTAAAATATTCTCCCAAACCTTTGCCACCTTAGCTGGGAAAATAAGGAACCTTTCAGTATTTCTCAATTGTGCCCTTTTTATTTCATTGTCCATTACTGACACACATTACCTTCTGACCCTTAAATCACTGTGAAGCCAAGTGCTTCATGGTCAGAAAGGATTATGTAGACGTTTAAACAATCTAGAGTCAGATCTTGCCCACAGGCTTGTTGTGTAGGAGACTGGACACACAAGAGATTAAAGAGAGTATGGGATGAAGCCAAAAAGAAAGGTAAATGTTAAATGGGAAAAGGGCAAGCTTTTAATCAGTGTTTGAATGGGGAAACATAAAAGGCCACCTGAAGGTCAGGAGGTGAAGCATTCCAGGGAAAGAGAAAGAGTGCAGAAAGGAAATTGAGAATAAAATTTGGCTTTTAGGATTAAAGAGAGGGAAGATAGAAGGAGTAGACATAGGCAGTAAGGAACATAAAAAGAGAGCTGTGAGGGGAGAGAAGAAGATGACATTTGGAAGACCTCATGGGTTCCCAGAGGTCACTGGATTATTTTGAAGAGGTCACATGATAGACTACATCTCTGTTCTTCCTCCAAATATTCTGTGAGTGCTCCCTTTCAATCAGAGTTCTAGTAGTTAAGGAATAAGGGAGATGCTTTGGAATTCAATTAGCCAAACAGTTGCCACAGCAACAACAACAATATACATGTGGACTTAAATGATTTATACCACCAGAAATCCACTTCAAATAGGAATAAATTTAATACAGCACCTGGGAATGAAATGCTTTGTACAGGAAGAAAATTGTATTTCCCTCCCTCCTCGCTCTCTCCAGTGATCGACGTCAAGGTTGTAATGCAATATAGATGAAGGGAGAGAAATAGATATTTGGATAGAAGTAAAATAGATTGTGTTGCAGGTACAATGCCAGCTCAGAGGGTGTGATGTATAATGAAAGTGGGCACCTAAAAAAGTGCTCAGATTTGACCCATGCAATGGCTGAATATAAGAGATGAGTATGACACAGGGCAATTGGTTGATTGTGTTTCTTGCTGAAATATCATCCGGAAGATTTGGATGATATCCTCCAGCATCCTATTAAGCCCATGCTGCTTTCTCAGTGGGGTTTATGCTACCCTCTATTACCAGAGTTCATAGGCAAGTGCTGATCCTTATGTAGTCAAAATGGTAATGTCCATGGTAAAAGAAGGCAATATCAGCAAGTTTTGGGGAATCACACAGTTTGCAGAAATGGGGGGAAGAAATAGGAAGGGGGAAGGAAAACCTCCCAAATGTGGACTGAAAGGGGCTTGTGGCCACAGAATGCTAACTGATTTGCAGAGGGATAGTGTTTTAGATGAGCAGTGTGGCATAGTGGCTTGAGTGTTGAACTAGAGCTCTGGAGACCAGGGTTTGATTCCCTGCTTGGCCATGAAACCCACATGCTCTCAGATTGAAGGGAAGGCAATGGCAAACCTCATCTGAACAAATCTTGCCAAGTCCCTGCCAAAGATGCTATTGTCCTTCTGTAATTGTGATTTACTGCCTCGTATGATAAGAGCCTAAGTAGCTTATACATTCATTCATTCATTCATTTATTGCTTTTGGGTGGGACATGTATCATTAGGATAGACTTACCAGCATTGTGGTTCCTATCCATAAGAAAGTAAATAAATATGTTCCAGGCAATATATGATTAGATTTATGCATATTTCCCCTTAGCTGTGTGCGGAAGGCTGGGAAAGAGAAACAAATAAGCTTATCTCACTGTGTTCTTGTAACAAAATGGGTACCATATGTAATGTGAATGTAACGTAACATATTTTATCACATGGTATGATCTTCATCAAGTTCTCGTTCCATGCTCTGACAGTCCCTAGCCTGTTCCAGAAAGAGAATTGTACAAATGCAGCCTCAGCCAGCAAGAACGCTTACAGACCGTTCAATATGATGTGTGTACAATAATCCTACGTGGTCTCAATCTGTCCTCGTGTTCTGATTGGCTTAGACAACCTCCTCCCCTCCCATCCTAGAATGTCCACAAACTCAACTCAACTCTTCCAGTGTTGATGCAAGGAAGGTGCCACAGATAATTTATTTTTTTTCATTATTTTTGTAGATTGAATTGTGTTGTGTTTACGAGAAAAAAAACAATGAATGCTCGCTACCTAAAACTCTCAGCAGCATTCTTTCCAATGCAGACATAGGGGTTTTTGCAACAGTGAGCATACACCAATGAGGGAGGAACTACTTTAGTGCCGGTACCAGTGCAACAGTAAATACAGTGTGATAATATGTATTCTCATAACGTTACTATCCCATTATCAATAGTCTAATGCAGTAACACCCGTTCCCATATTGTTATGTTCCAGGGACCCCGTGGGAACATTACAGGTACTGGTGCACTAAGCTTACAAAATAAATAGGGTGCAGCTAGATTTTTGCAAGGGTCACTCAGCAATAGATCATTGCTTCATTTTGCATCAGATTATTACAACATCTATTAGGGAACCTATAAAGAAGCTTTATGCAGGTTTTGTGTATCTCTCAGCTGAATTTGATTTGGTTAATCAGCAGTGTCTTTGGGACAAATTATATAGAACAAATATAGATAAGGGTTTATTTTTAGTTAATAGAGAAATTACGTAGCCAAAACATTTATGCATATTAGAGAGGAGTGTAATGAAGCCACACAAATAAAATAAGATATGTAACAGTTAAATAAGAGTGCATTTCAATCTCTTTGAAATTTAATTTTATGTTAATGGCATTGAGCAGATTATATCTGGCATTACCTTTCATTCACAAATAATTGCAGCCAGACAATTAGCCATATTGATTTATGTTAGTATTCCTTTCATGGTTACAGATCAGCCTTGGAGGAATGTTACTAAGATGTAGCCAAGTCTCTAAACAAGAACATTTAAAACAAACTATCTGAACACTAACTTGCACCAGTGGCATGTAGACTGAATGGAGAGGACAGCTCTCTCACCATTTAAGGAAGAGCATTGAATCCCTGGTCAGTCTCAAGAGAATACACTGCCAAGCTGTATTTGATAGGAAGAGTAAGGTTCATAACAGGACAATGGATGATCAAAATATCTAGCTTTTTCTTCATCAAGGGAAGCAAATTAGTAGCTACCAAAGAATCAGAGGAAAAATTAAATTGTGCTATAGCAGAAAAGACCAGTTGAACTTGCTGGGAATTGTATATATTTAAAATCTTGGCACAGATACAAGATGATGCTGAAAAGTTATTACCCCAACCAATAAGGGACTGACTTAGAGCAGTGGTTCCCAAACAGTGGGCCAGGGCCCCCAAAGAAGGGTGGAAGAGCTATTCAAGGGGAGCACAAGACTTGGATGTCACCAGGAAAAGGGACATTGGGGTAGTAACCACAGGACTATTGCATTAATATGAACATGGTGGTTTTGGTATGTGTATAGCTGGATCAGACCTAATTCAGGCTGAGCCAGTTGTCCACTCACCAAGAGCTACAGCATCCCACTTCCCCATGCTGAGCAGTGCAGCAAAAGGGATGGTTTGTCCACAGAGATGTTGCAGTGGCTTCCTCACTGCCAGGAACTTCATGGAAAGGCTGTAGCATGGTGCCACTTTTCCTGAGGATAGAACAGATGCCCGGGTGATAGAATGAGAAGAGACGGTAAAGGTACGCCCAGTCATATGGCTGGATACATCCTGGAGATATCACAGCCAGATGTTCAGCCATGGGATTGGAGGGGATTCATTTACCCCAATGGCAGTCAATCGGGTGATATAATGAGAGGAGAGGTACCACCAGTCATATGGCTGGATACCTCCTGGAGATGTCACAGGCAGGAGAATTGTTCAGCCATGAGATGGAGGGTGTGTGTGTGTGCACCTACACCCAATGGCAGTTGATCCATGAACAGGGAAAGGGCCAGTAGAACAGATGTGGTGTCAGCCCAGCTGGCCCTTGTTGCACTGCTGCAGTGTTGCACTAGGTTCAGCCTAGTGTGTGTGTGGTCATCATCCAGTCCTGAGCATAATGCTCAACCATTGCATACAAACCCAAAGTCTCCACATGACCAAGAGAGGCATGGCCTTTGACTACATTGAGATTCCTCCAACTGAAGTACAGCAGAGACAACATCTATACAAAATATAGGCCCATGACTCCAACACCATCACTTTTATTCCTCCTGTGACACACACACACATACACAGCTTTCACCTGCTGAAGAAGCCAGTGGAGCTTCAAAGGAGATTATCGCATTAACTTCACTGTCAGGATAGAACTGGGATGTAACTTTCTTAAGGCAAATCTTATCGCAATCACCCATCGCAGGGCAGTATGCAACCCATATGCAATCCGGGCTTCTCTGGGTTTGTCCTGCATCTTTTCAAGAATGGGAAAGCCATGCTCTTGAAATGCTGCAAAAGAAGCCGAGGTAGCATATGGATTGCATATTGCCCGGCGATGGATGAATGCAATAAGATCTGCCTTAAGAAAGTTACATCCCAAGTCATCCAGGCAGTGAAGCTAATGTGATAATCTCCAAAATCTTGTATTGTGTATTGTGTGCATTTTGGTTGGCCAATAAAGATATCACTCCTTTATGGATTTTGGATTTTGTACCATATTAAAGTCATTTTCTTTAATCCTAAATTGACATATTCCATAATAGGAAGATATTTTCTATTATCTTTTTGCAAGTCTGTTTGTAAACATTTTTATTTTTGTTTACAATCTTCTTGCAAACATTTTGGCCTCTAGATTTAGTAAAGAAATTGATCAATAAGACTGTGAATTATTTTATTTGGTTTTAAACTGGCTTTCATGTTTGCGCTAGATCAAGATTCAGTCAGCTTTTGAAAGTGTATTGGTTCATTAGTCATTGTTGTATGTTTTTGAATTATGGTATCTGAAAAGTCTTTAAAAATTGACAGGTCAAACCATGTGGTCCAGGGGTTTTATTATTCTTCAGATTTAACATAGACACGCTAACATCATATTTAGATATGGGTGCTTTTGACAAAGATATGTCTGACAAATATTCAATCATTTTATATTGGCAAATTCTTGCTCAATGTCACACCTTGTTGGATTTTGTGAGGTGTATGCCTCTTGATAGAATTTTTAAAACTGTGGAGCTTTCTCCATTGATGTTTTAGCCATTTTCTTGTTGAAAATGAGAGCTGGAACCAATGTTTGCATTGGCTTCCTTCTTAAATATTTTGACAGTAATTTAAATTGCTTGTTACTAGATGCAAACCATTTCTGCTCAGCTGCATTGGTATATTTTTCTAATTTATTATTATGCCTTTGTTGATATAGCCTTCTTACGTTATTTATTAGAGTAAGAATGTTCAGATTTTTATTATTGTAGTCCATTTCCAATGTTTTTAATACTCATTCTTTATCTTTTTGAGCATATATTTTTCAATTCAATTGTTGTTGAGGGGAGTTTTATGAGTATTACCCTTATATAGTCTTTTGCATAGTCCCAAATAACTGGCCATGTGACATCTAATGCAATTTTCTGCTCTAGAAATAGCTTTTCTTTACATTTATATTTTGCAATCCACTAGTGTCTAACCTCTATGGTTTATCATCAGGAACTTGCTTAGTTAATTCCAAAGATAACAAAAGCATGAACAGCACAAATCACTGGAAGATTTGATATCTCTTTTGTGTTATTAATCTTTGATCTAAAAAAGAAAAAAAAATGAATAAGTATTATGAGCATAGGTAAGTTAACTTAATTTAACATCACAGTAAATATATAATCTCTTTCTACTGGATTGTAGAATCTCCATACATCAAGTATTTTTTTTATGCCAGGCCTAAACACTGTAAAGGTGCCAGATCTCATATGATCTTGGAAGCTAAGCAGGGCCAGTTCTGGTTAGTACTTGGATGGGAGCCCACCAACTGTTCTGATCTCAGCAGTAGTGACAAGCACCAAACAGGGGTTGCATAAGAAGGTAGCTGGCTCATCATTTTCTGTGAGTGAAAGCCCTCAGGTAAGACTAATTTAACATCATAAACTAAAGACATTGTGGATGAAATCTCTGACCAACAAGACAACCCACCAAATGCCATCTCTTTGAAAGCAATAAAAAGACACAAGAAATGCTGATCTCAGCACTTAAATCAGGCCCAGGAAAGAACTCTGTGATACCCCACTATTCACTTCTCTCCAGGATGAAGAGCAGCCATTGGTGATCACTCTTTGGGTTTGGTGTGTCAGCCAATTGCAAACTAACTAACATTGGGGGGTTGCAGACTGCCAGAAATAGTGCAAATTGAGTCCACTTTTAGGGTTAGTGTTAGTGCTAGGGAATCATGGGAATTGGGTTTTTTCTGACACATTGAGCCTTCTCAGTCAGAGAGCTCTGGTGCCACAATAAAATACAGTTCCCATGATTCTCTAGCACTAAAC